GGTTACAGTGCATTTGAATTATACAGCAAGAAGGGCTTTTTCATCACATTCACAGACTCCAGTGTCAAAGCATCAAAATATGATGATTCTGAAGAATTCAAACAGTCAAGTAGCTTCAGCATAGAAGGTATGTTCCCAAGATCTCTGAAAATAGAATAGAGAATTTATAGTTTGCAGAACACTTATTATTTTTTTATTTGTTGTTTTTAGATATACATGACAGTAGGGTGTATTTTGACATATTATACATACATGGGGTGCAACCCATTGCAATTTTTATCCCATTCTTGTGGTTGAAATGATGTGGAGTTACACTGGTTGTGTATTCATATGTAAGCATAGAAAAGTTATGTCTGATTCATTCTACTATCTTTCCTGTTCTCATTCCTCCTCCCTTCCCTCTGTTCTCCTTTGTCTAATCAATGAACCTCTCTACTTCCCCTCCATATCCTCCCTTGATATGGGTTAGCATTCACATATCAGAAAGAACATGTGGCCTTTTGTTTTTTTTTGGGATTGGCTTATTTCACTTAGCAAGATATCCTCCAGTTCCATCCTTTTACTTGCAAATACTATGATTTCATTCTTCTTTATAGCTGAGTAATATTCCATTGTGTGTATGTGTGTATAACTAGTCAAATATCTCAATAAAAAACTTTAATAAGATACATTTTACAAATATAAAAAATTTAAAGCACACAACAAAAAAAAGAATGTTTATTCCACTTTTTTTTTAAATCCATTCATCTATTGAAGGGCATCTAGGTTGGTTCCATAGCTTGGATATTGTGAATTAAGCTGCTATAAACATTGATGTGGCTTTGTCACTATAGTATGATGATTTTAAGTTCTTTGAGTATATACTGAGGAGTGGGATAACTGGGTCAAATGGAGGTTTCATTACAAATTTTCTAAGAAATCTTCATACTGCTTTCCAAAATGGTTGCACTAATTTGCAGTTCCATGACCCATGTATGAGTGTACCTTTTCCCCCACATCATCACTAACATTTATTGTTGCTTATATTCTTCATAATTGCCATTCTGACTGGAATGAGATGAAATCTTAGTATAGTTTTGATTTGCATTTCTCTAATTGCTAGAGATGTTGAACATTTTTTCATATGTTTTTTGACATTTGTATTTCTTCTTCTGTTAAGCATCTGTTCAAATCCTTAGCCTGTTTATTGATTGTGATATTTTTTTTTGGTGTTAAGTTTTTTGAGTTCTTTATATATCCTGGAGATTAATGCTCTGAGGTGCAGGTGGTAAAGATTTTCTCCCATTCTGTAGGCTCTCTGTTTACCTTCTTGATTGTTTTTAATGGTAGAATCTTTTTTGCTATATATAAGTAGAGTTATATGTTGTTAAATAAGTTTCTTAATATAGCTATCCATCAGTTTATTCATCTGTAGAACTGGAGAAATAAGAACAACCCTAAAGAAAGATTTATGGCTATTACCCCAAGTATTTTACCAGTACTGTCTGGACTTTGGGATTAGAACTCACCATTTCTTGATGCCTGGTGTTAGCATCTACTTGTTAACTTTTTCTTTCCTAGAAGGCAACTTCTGATTCGTTTCATGGTCAGTGATAGGGACAAGATGTTTATCTCTGTCTTTTGATTTCAAGGGTGTCTGGTTCTATTGAACCTCTAGAGAATTTCCTCAGTTTAGCAAAAGCCAGATCTTGTTTCTGTAGAGCCTTACAGCAATTAAATTGCTAGAGGTCTATAAAAATTGAAAGAGTTTCAGAAAATAGCCTCACTTCCTTATACAATATTTAAAAGTCATGTTCTATTTTCAAAATCCAAAAGATTGATTCCACCTTAAGTCTCCCAAGCAAATTATTTCATCTTAACCAACTCAACCCCCAGAAGCAGTCTCAGAGGGAGAACTCCTTTGTATCGTGCATAAGTTCTTGCAAACCTCTCAAATCTTTGGATTAAAAAGAATTCAAACTGCCTTCAAAAGTTTGCCTATTGAATAGAGTTCTTGTATTCTATCAAAGGTTCTAAGTCTGGCGGGAAGTTTTGCACAAATCTAGCTGCCAGAGTTCTACCCTGGTGAGGGTCTCTAAGCCGGGCAAAAGGAACTCCAAAACTTCTACTACTGGGATTCTTAGTTCTAGTTTGATAAAACAGAGGTCCAACAGGGTAACGTTATTACTTTTGTATAGGCAGCAAGAATTAACAGAAGCCTAGGGTCCTCAGTGAACCAGTGCCCCCCAAGGCTTAGGAAAATTGTCAAGGGCAGATGGTGTCTTATTTGTTCATGAAGCTGCACTTCAGCTGAGGGACCCCAAATGCAGTCCACTCTGGATTCTGTACTCTAGGGCCACTGGCATTGCTGAGACAAATTTTCCTCTTTTAGGTGGGAGGGAGGCAGAATCTGGGCTGTCCAGATAGTTCCTCTTTATCTCAGAATGCTAAATTCTCAGAGCATTGTACACTTATTGTAGTAACTGCAGGTGGGAGCCAGCTAAGGTCATCTGGGGACCTGTCCTTCTGCAATGTGCTCTTGAGAACAAGTCACCGACATGCCTACACCTCATTGCATAGATCACATATAATCATTTTACTTGAATTTACTTAAAATTAAAAGTTGAAGTTTACCAGCCTTTGTTTTCCCTTTACTCTAGAAATTTACTCTATGAGAACCAGACCCAGCAGGCCTGCTTATGACTCAGAGAACTGCAGCCAATGGCATCATTAGAATTTCAGAAAGTGATCTTTGTGGGTTTCCTAAACCTAGGAAACTCTGGTGGGATGCACTATTTTTTGTCTTAACACTAATCCTCTCTCAGGATCCATGAGCCCAGGAACTCAAGATTAGTTTAGATGAATAGTCGCTCTTCAGGAAGTCTTATTTTCTTTGCCGTACTTGAATTTTATATCCCAAGTCCATGAACCATACCAGTGTCTTGAATTTTCTCCCCTCTATGTTCTTTTGTTCAGAGAAAATTTTGAACTGCTACTGAGGTGCTTCTCTAGGATGTAAAAAGAGGAAGATATTGGCAGTTTATAGGAGAAAAATCTTCAATCAGGACAGGTGTTATAACTATAAAAATGTATTATTCAAATCCATTCATTTATTCTTTCATATTCAAATAATATCATGTAGGAGACGAGGTACTAAATTCTTACTCCAGATTTGTGGTTCTGACCCATGAGTTTGGTCTTGCCATTTTCCTAATTGTTTGAAGTTGACAAGTCTCTTTGTGGCTTGAAGCCTTGATTTCTTCATTTTGAGATTGGAAATAATATGTACCCAAAAGAGTTCTAGCAAGGATAAAATAGAATAATGGAAAAAAATTACTTTGCAAAAATTTAATTGCAAACAAGTGGTGTTGGCACTTTATTCTGATATGAAAATCAGTGAAAACTCATTAAACATTCGAGAAAGAAAGATTTAGAACTTTCCTTCTTCCAACCCCTTCTTTTTAAAACTCTTTGGAAGATAGATTAATATTTAGATACATTATCTGAGCAAGAAGTGCTTTGGTCATCAAGCCATCAAAATATTTTTATACAATAGCTTTCATATCATAAACTATTAGTTTTTAAGCTGTGCATTAAAAATGGATACAGTCTAAACATTTTTTTCCCCCAGAAATCCAGGCAGCAGTGCCTTACAGGAGGATGTGTGAATGGAGATACGAACCTTGTGCCTCTCCCTGTTTTAAAACATGCAGTGACCCTGAAGCACTAGCATGTAAATTTCTTCCACCGTAAGTAATGTTTACCACTAAATAAGCAAATTCCAATATTTACAGTCCTCTGGTCTCAGTAAATTCTATGTTATATTTTAAAACATTCTCATAAAAATTTATGTATGCAAAATATACTAATTCATGACTTTATTTTATTTTGATGAAAGAGAATTGTTGAGGGTTTGTTTTGTGTTAGGAATTCTTGCTGCCAGGGATACAGAATTATAACAGAATAGATAAAAGTGCCTGCCCTCATGAAGCCTGTGCATTAATAGGTTGAAGCAGAAAATAAACACAAGTGTAAGTATATAATGAAACATACTGGTAGATTACAAGGTGTTATGGAGTAAAAGAAAGAAAGGTGAAGGAGACAGAGTATAAGGTGTGTCCATGTGTTTGCTAGATTAACTTGGTGGTCAGGGAAGAATACACTGACAATGACATCTGGTCAGAGATGGGAAGGAAGCAAGGAATCTGATCTGAGAACAGTTCCTGGCATGGGAACATGCCTGGTGTATTTGAGAATTAACAAGGAGGACATTGTTGGAGCCAAGTGGATAGAATTGAGTTGTAGAAGAGACCATAGTGGTAGGCAAATCAGAAGAGGCCTTGCAGCCTGTTGTAAGGACTTTGAGTAACACAGGAAGGCTTGATATATTTTGGAAAGAAGGCTTGATATATTTTGGAAAGGGGAGTCACAAGATCTATTTATATTTTTTAAAATTAGTTTGGCTCTTGTATTGTGAATGGGCTGATGGGCGCGGGAGGACAGGACAGGGAAGAACTGGTCAGTTATAAAAACAACAGAAGATGGGCATTTGACTAGGTTGATAGCCTTGGGCATCAGAGAAGTGATGAGATTCAGGATGTAATTTAAATTTAGGACCACGGGGGGGCCGGGGGGGTTCAAAAGAAGGAAGAAAAGAAAAAAAAATAAAGGACTCCAATTTGGCCTCAGCATTTTGGGTAAAACCATATGTAGCTGCCACTTTTGTAGTCAAAACTGGTCAACTATTGGTAATTTCATATAATTTGATTTCATAGAACACTGTGTTGCCAGTTGCTGAGATAAGAACAATATCAGGAGGAACAGCTTAGAGGAAAATTGTAGAATCTTCTTTTGAGGATATTGTGTTTGAGACTGAAAATTGTTCATTGAATTTAGTGACCTGGATACTAGGAAGAAGCAAAGTAGAATCAGAGCATGTAACTAGCATTTTTTAAACAAAGAGTTTGCTGTAAAGGGGAACAGGGAAATGGATCAGTAGGAGGAGGGAATATTTTTGAAAGCATCATTTTACATGAAATATCTATGAACTTTTACTCTTGGTGAACACCAGCCTTCCAGAACATCCTTAGAGAGAGGAATGCACTCAGAAACAAAGGCAGATAATGACAGTACAATGGGATGAGGTCTAGAGAAGTAAATGTAACAAATAGCATATCATGTGCTTCAGCAGGATATAAACTGTCCTGTAAAATGCACAATCTCATTCCATTTGCAGAGGAGAAAACTAACTGAGGCACAGAGAAACTACACAATTTGCTCTAGGTCACACAGTTTGTAAGCAGGGAAATCATGCTCTGAACCACTATGCCCTGTTGTGCGTCAAGTTCTATAGAAGAGGGAAGGAAATTATATTTCCTTTAAAATAAGAACAACCTTTCCCCGCCCCCCTTTTTCCTATGAGAAATCTAATCCTTTGCTTGGACCACTCACATTCACAAGTCTTTTTCCTGCTTCTTCTGGGAAGTATCAGGAGGCAGGGATACCATAGTGGCCCCACAGTGAGGCTCATCCCTGGGAGGGCACACTGGGAGGAAGACAGCAGAGGACACACCTGGCCCGACATTCTAGTGGAAATTGAGCTACATTTTGAAGTGTTATTTGGCTAGTTTATTTCTTTTTGTGACATGATTGATCTCCAAGGTGATGGAACACAGTTCCATAATGCTCCCAGCTTACTGGCCTGCAGCTATTTGTCTTTGGGTATAGTTAGAAGACTCAGGAAACTTCACCCCTGCCAGGCTGCTTCTCCTTTCCACCTTCATCCCTGCCTCTGTGTCCTTGCCCTGTGCTATGGGGCCTAACAACTGGCCCCTGCCCCTTGTCCTTGAACATTCAAGTGTGGAGCTATGCCTCTTCTGTGCTCCTGCACCCGTCCTCCGTGTCCCCAACAGCCTTGTTCTAGGTGATTTCAGTTTCTGGCACAAAGCAAGTGTTAAAAATAAAAATATCTGTGAAAATGAGAACTCTCCATAAGAAAATATGTCAAATGGCACACCCTAGAGCGCAAATGCAAATTGTTACTCCCATACGTAAGATTTATTCTAAGAATGATTCTGTATCTGAAGCATTATATTTATCAGTGAGAAGTGGAGTAGATTAACATCTGTATGACAAAATAAAGAGAAAGCTAGAATTGTGACTATAAAGACATTTTAAAGGGGTTAAGTTAATAGTTGTTAGAAAATATATTAAGAGTATGCTGTGGTTTTTATGGGTACAAAATCATTGCAAAATAGTTGAGCTGCATAAAAAAATTAAAGGTGACTTCACTTAGTGGTAACCTACTGGCTGAAGTCTTTCCAAAAATCAGAATGTTAATTTTTTTCCTTCTGCTTGATAAAATTTAGAGAATAGGATTTTGTGCCTGTTAAAACTTATTCAAATTTATTTATGGAATATACAATTGGTCACCTATAAGCTAACTATTTATATTTCAAAAATTATTATAACGGGCATGGTGGTGCACACCCGTAATCCCATTATCTTGGGAAGCTGAGGTTGGAGGATTGCAAGTTCAAAGCCAGCCTCAGCAATTTAGCAAGATGCTAAACAACTTAGTGAGACCCTGTTTCAAAAGTAAAATATAAAAAGAGCTAGGTATGTGGCTCAGTTGTTAAGCATCCCTGGGTTCAACCCTTGATACCAAAAGAAAAAATGTCATAATCCATGACTGTTGGTGCTCCTGTCATCCTGTCAACTCTGGAAGTTGAGGCAGGAGGATCTCAATTTCCAGGCCAGCCTCTCCAATTCAGCAAAACCTTGTCTCAAAATAATTAAAAGGGTTGAGGGTTTAGCCCAGTGGTAAAGCACCCCTGAGTTTAATCCTAAGGACCACACCCACACTAAAATTAATAGGAATGAGGTATTCAAGAGATTGCTAACTTTGTCTCATAAAGGCTCATTCTATAACAAGATAGAAAAGAGTTTTCCTTGGATTTTAGTGTTGCCTGAATTTGCTTGCACGAACAGTGCCCTCTAGTGGTCATATTGATCCGCAGTGGAGCAGCCTTGACCATTTTTGTCCAAATTCTTTATTAATAGATCAACCCAAGGAAATGTTTATAAAATACTAAAATTATTATTATAACTTGATAGTGTGTTTGAGATGTATAGTAAAAAGCCTTTTTATAATAATATTGGCATTAATTTTCTGTAGAATGTATGAACCTAAGAATCAGATTTGATTATTGAAAGATCACATTTATTTCCTTAGAATCAGAATAAATTGGACTCTGAACTTTAATTAGAGAAGAGAGAAATGTAACCTCAGTCCTTATGTTAGCTTTATTTCCTTAGTAGAATACTGTTCTAGGTGTTGTTTCCTGAGTTCATGGACTGTTGAAATTTGAGACTCTTACTTGGCATCAGACAAGGACTCTTCTTGTTACAGACAAAGACTGGAGATATTTACCATGGCAAAATGTCCTGGGGCTTCAAACTGGGGCTCCTGTGGGTCATACGCAACCACTTCCTCCCGTGGGATTGCCACAGTGGGGTACAGACACCAATGCTTTTGAGAATACAGCCGATGACCCTCCCCGGCCCTGTTCTCACAGGCAATCCACCAGAGGTCTGGATTCTCTTTTCAATGAATGTAGGTTTAATAATAGACAGGGAAAACCACTGAAGATGCTATTTTTGACCTACAGGCATCTTGAAGGCAAGGATAGTCTAAGATCATGTCAGTCCATTTAGATGTAGGGGAATTTAGGAATAGAAAGAAATAACACAACTAATATAGATTAGCATATCAATAATTTTTTTCCTGTATTTCCAATGATTTATAGAATGTGGCCTTAATGTGCCTCAAATATAAGTGTATATTTTGAATGTTTTGGATTCAAATTGTGCCTTAATCATAATGATTCTTTATCATCTACTTGCTTGTGATTTTGTAAACTGAAGTATGATGGAGTGGTGGGCAAATGGAGTTCTCCTCAGAGCTTGACAATGGGGGACAGAAGAATTTTAGGAAGGATGTATCTTATTTTCATATATTCAATGCAGTTTTTGTTTTGTGCATTTTACATTTTTCTCATTTGGTTTTTTTTCCATGTAAAGGGTTGAAGGATGCTTGCCTTACTGCCCTAAAAATATGATCCTTGATGAGGTCACGCTCAAATGTGTTTATCCAGGAGACTGTAAGTGTGAACCTTGCTTAATTTACTCTGACAAGTGAAAAGCATGAATTTTTTTTCCTCTATGAAGCAGGTGGTTGTAATCAGAAGTTTTAGACAATAAACTCTCATAAGCCTTTAAATATACTTTCCATGGGTTTTGTGATGGTGTTATTCCTAATTACTTTCTAAATCATGTACTTCTTACCTCTCACATCCCTCCTGTTTTTTTCCTCCAAAACATTTTCTTTGAAGGAAAGAGCCCTGTGTGAATTATGTGGGTCTTACTGTACACAAATATAAAGAAGAGCATTTTTTGTTTCTTTGTAGGCATTCCTGTGATTCCCACAGAGCCAACCTTAGTGCCACCAGGTGAGCTCTCTCTATCCATGTTTTCAGGTATCATTATAAGGTTAGACAGTAAAATGAGCATTCCATAATGTAAGTCTTGGCACACTTACCAGAGCTGCAAGCATTAGGATAATCCCATTGACTAGAAAACCCAGAAGGTACTTTTGCTTCATTAAGGAATTGTTCATGGGCTCAACATGTCACATTTTCTACAATGGGGGTCTGCATACTCTTTTAGTTAGAATACTACTAAGATTCTACTAGAATTTTCCTCAAGTTGCCCAGAATTTAGGTTTTTCTAAATCCTACTTAAAGTTGCATAGTGATTGAATTGGCTCCAAGGAGATGCAGATGTAATTCAACTTTCCTTTGGAGCCTCTATTGCCTTTTTTTGTGTTCTGTCCCTGGCTCTAGTAGCCTTGCCTCCCTCTTTCACTCTGAAACTTGCTTCAGGAAAGAATTTAATAAAATCTAGTGAACTGGGGCTTGCCAAACTAATCATATTATTTTTCCTGGAATTATTATCTAGAAAAGTTCAAATTCAGATATTTATATTGGACACGTTTTAATTGAGCATCAACTGTGCCAGCATCTGTCCTGGCACTGAGGGCATGGCAGATAAATCACAGCCCTACCCCGAATAGCTACTAGTCCACAGTGTATTAAAGTATAGTCAACCTTCTGTATCTTTGGGTTCCACATTTGTAGATTCAACTAAGTGCAGATCAAACATATTTGGTAACAAAGATTGCATCCATGCTGATATGCTGAATGCATGCAGATTATTTTCTTTGTCATCATTCCCTAAGCAATACAATATAACATGTGTGTGTGTGTGTGAGTGTGTGTGTGTGTGTGTGTGTCTGTGTGCAGCATTTATGTTGTATTAGGTATTAGAATTCATCTAGAGATGATGTGTATGTGGGAGGAAGTGTATAGGGTATATGAAAATACTATGTTTTTTTTTATATGAGGAACTTAATTGTTGTAGATTTTGGTATGTGTGGGAAGTCTGTAATCAATCCCCATGGACACTTTGGCATGATTGTAGTACAATCAGGGTACATAGGAACAGCACATGGGAGAGGCATTGTATTTATTTTGGAGTTGTAGTCTCAGAAGGGTAACAGAAGGTAGGGACTGTGTAGGAAGAAATATGTTCTAACAAGATGGTAACAGTAACTGTAAAAGCTGGATGATAGAGAATATTTCACATGAAGAGACATCCAGCTGGTCAGTATGTCTTGAATCTGCAGCATGTGAGGAAAAGTTCCAAGAAATAGAATAAAAGAGATTATTAGGGGGCTAGGTAAAAGGTTCATGGCAAAAAACTTGGAATTTTTTTCCCTGAAGAATTACTGAAGGATTTTAGGAGTCTTTTGACATTTTCCAAATTGTGGACTCACTATAAGCATTACTAGTACAATTATTCTTATTAGCTAACATTCATTGAAATCTTACGTGCCAGACATTGAATTAAATACTTGGCATACATGTAAACCTTATAAGAGCCACAAGAGAATGGGTTTATCACCCTTGTAGAGGTTAACAATTACTCTATTTTTGTAAAAGCATGTTTAGGTCGGGGCCAGAGATAATTTTCCAACATCGTTCAATCTATGGAGGGAATAAGTTTATTAAATAAGACTGAATATTCTAACATCCAGGGCGTAGATTATTAATTCTTCTAAGTGCTGCTGTCTACTTTGACCTGATAACCGCCCCCCATCAATATTTAACATGTATTGCAAATGTGTAAAACTATTTAATTGTAACTATACTTCATGACCCTCAGGGATAAGAAAAGTAAAGCTGTTTCTATTTGTAGATGACATAGATAGATAGGTAGGTGGATAGATAGATAGAGCTATTATCCTAAGGAATCTGCCAAAACCTATTAAAAATAATAAATGAGTTCGCCAAAGTTGCAGAATACAAGACCAACATAAAAAAATCAACTGTATTTCTATACACTAGCAATGAACAATATGAAAAGAAAATAATTATATTTACAGGAGCATTGAAAAAGAATAGCATACTTAGGAATATATTTAGCAAAAGAGTTGAAATACAGACTTAAATCTGCAATGAAAATTACAAAACATTACTGAAGGAATTGAGCAGTTAAAGTAAATGGATTTGAAGATTTAATATTGAGATACTAATACTCTCAAATTTGTTTTATAGGTACATGTAATCCCTGTCATAACCCTAGCTTGTACTTTGCAGAACTTGACAAACTGACCCTAAAGCCATATGAAATTACAAGGAATGTAGTATAGCCAAAACAATCTTGAAAAAGAAGCAAAAGTTGGAAAACTCACACTTCTCAATTTCAAAACTTACTGAAAGCTGCAATTGTCAAGACATCTTGACTATTATTTTATATCTAGACAATTCTCATAATCCTTTGATTATTTTAGATAACAATGCACTCCTTCACATTTAGACTGCTGAACCTCCTAGTCACGAGAATTTTCCATGAATTTGTGCTTTTATTGTACTAGAACTTTGTATTATCTTTCTTTGCCTGAAAGTTTGTGGTAATGGAAATAAACATATTTAAGTCTATTAAATATCATGCTCTGTACACAATACAACATCTAATACATGTATCATGAACTTTGCTCCTAAGACCAAGGAATTTTTGTTGTACTTTATCTATCCTTCAACTTGGGAACTACAAAATAATAACAAAAATGGGAGTTATCTGTGGAAACTATTTAACCAAAAGTGTAAAAGTTATCTATTATGTCATTGTGGTAGGCTGAGTAATGGCCCTCCAAAAATGTCCAGGTTTTAGTCCCTAGAATTTGTGAATATGTGACCACACATGGCAAAGGGCTTTGTTGATGTAAAGATGCTCATCAGTTTTATGACTGGATCTGAAAATGGGGGAAACTAACCTAAATTATCCACATAGGAGACACGTTAGAATCAGAGAAGATGACAACAGAATCAGAGAAGAGAGTATTGGAGATGTTAAGTTAGTGTTATAAAGGTGAAGAAAGGGAGCACAAGCCAGGGAATTCAGGCAGCCCATGGAAATTGAAGGCAAGGAAACGCATACTTTAAAGCCTCCAGAAAGAATACAGCCTTCCTGATTCCTCAGTTTTAGCACTTCTGATCTCCAGTTCTGCTAAATAATAAGCTGGTTTTTAAATAATGTTTTAAGCAGCACCAACAATTTGCTACAGCAGCAATAGGAAACAAATACTATGTTTTTAAATACTATCAATGATGGACATTGCAACCACAGCGTGGGAAAATTTCTTCTATTATTCTTATCTCTTCTGTAGTCCTTCAGACTGAATGTTTTAGAAATTTCTCAAGTTCTGCTAAAAGCATTGTAGTGCCTTACAAATGTATCTGCCAATTGTGTCTTCCCTTTTCTTGGCCACTCCTTCACCACACCCACCGATGTTGTCCAAAGTATCACTATTCTGTTTGCAAGGAACACACCAAGGTTTCACCAGTGGAAAGGGACCAGCTTCTCTAGTTATTTTGAAAATGCAATAAGATTTGTAACTCCTGAGCCTGGAGACACCACTGGTATTTTTACCTGTTCGAACAATTGTGTTAACACGCTAAAACAGTGAAGGTGTTTATAGACTGGGCATTAAAATGTCATATTTGATATAAGGAGAGCAACCAAGAACAGAGCAGGGAAGAAGAGCAGGAGAAGAAGATCACCATTAAACAGGGACGGGGGGGGGGAGGGAAAGAGAGAGAGAAGGGAAATTGCATGGTAAAGGAAGGAGACCCACATTGTTATACAAGATTACATATAAGAGGAAGTGAGGGGAAAGGGGAAAAAACAAGAGAGAGAAATGAATTACAGTAGATGGGGTAGAGAGAGAAGATGGGAGGGGAGGGAAGGGGAGGGGGGATAGTAGAGGATAGGAAAGGCAGCAGAATACAACAGACACTAGTATGGCAGTATGTAAAAGAGTGGATGTGTAACCGAAGTAAATCTGCAATATGTATACGGGGTAAAAATGGGAGTTCATAATCCGCTTGAATCAAACGTATGAAATATGATATGTCAAGAGCTTTGTAATGTTTTGAACAACTAATAATAAAAAAAAAATACAAAAAAAAAAAAAAGCCAGGGCTCTGGAATCAGAATTCCTGGTTAGAATTCTGCTCCTGTCACTTTTCAAACTGACTTCCCAACAGCTTAGTTTCCTTATTTGTAAAATGACGATAGCATTTTTATCTCCTTCACAAATGAAATAATCTATATAAAATTCCTTAGCACACTTTCTATCACATGTATTCCATGCATGATGAATACCATTCCACTAATGAATTTCATCTTCATTTTTAGTAGGTCCAGAAATGATTACCCCCTCAGACATTACTGTATTTGACACACTAATGCCTACAACAGGTTTGGAATGTGAGGTATGACTTTTTATTTTCTAATAGCATTGGCTCTTGTTTCACTCTTCAAATAGCATTAAACTTCTTTGGGTTTATCATTGCTAAAAGATAATGATAATAATATGAATTACATTTTAACAACTATGTTTTCTTAACTGACAGATAATTCTTATTGATTATGTTATAGTCACAGTAGTAAAAGAAAAATTAAATAAGAACCTAAATGCGATTTCCTAATAAAGAGTCATCTAGTGTGGCCTTCTCCATCCATCAGGCATTCATAAAATATTTATTGAGCAGCTACTATATGCCAGACATTATGCAAGATGATAACAATATATTGGCAACCAATAAAGATAAAAAGTCATTGGCCCCTAGAGCTAATAGTTTTCTAAGCTGATACTTGAGCAAATATCTTTTTCAAATATGACACTCATTTTGATAAACTAGCTATTTATTTAGTCAATATTTATTTAGCATCATTTCTGGCCAAGAACTGGTTAGCTACTATTGGTAAAGTATAAAAGCAGGCCAAACTTCCTGCCTTTATGGAGTTTGCATTATATTGGAGTTTCTGAGATTGCCAATAAGCACAATATGTCACATTAAAATGTTCGAAAAAGTACTATTCAGGAGAGTAATGAAACTATTTTCAATAAGTTTGTTAGAAAATCTCTACTGATTAGGTAATTTTAGAGCAAAAGATCTAAAGAAGTTGAGAGCTGAACAATGCAGAGGACCAGGAACACAATGTTCCAAACAGGGGGCTGGCAAGTGAGAATAACTGGAGACAAGAATGTATCTAACATTTAAAGAATAAGAAAATAAAGCTGGGCTTGCTGGGGCATGCCTATAATCCCAGCGGCTTGGGAGGCTGAGACAGGAGGATCATAAGTTCAAAGCCAGCCTCAGCAAAAGCAAGGCACTATGCAGCTCAGTGAGATCCTGTCTCTAAATAAAATACAAAATAGGGCTGGGGATGTGGCTCAGTATTTAAGTGCCCTTGAGTTCAATCCCTGATACCCACCCCCCCAAAAAGATAATAATTATTATCATACTTTCAAATAGAATATGATTTATGAACTTTGAAATCTTTAACTCATATTTATCTGTAAGTTTTAAACTATATATTAAAATTAACTTGTAATTATACTAATCATGTGCTATTAATGTCACATATGAATTTTTAATGAGATATTTGGGTAGGATTAAGTTGTGATTTTTTAAACCAACATGAACAGAAGTTATATTCATATACTAGCTCTACATAACATAATAGGAAAGACTGCCTGCCATCATACAAATTTGCTTACCAAGTGCTAACCTCAGAATGTATGAAAGGACTTTATTTTGTCTGAGTGTATGGGTAATCCTGACGCTAAATCAATATTAAAATAAAACTTAAATTAAGTACATATTGAATATTATAGAGAGGACACATCAACAAAAACTTGTAGTGAAATTTTTAATTTTTTCTTTCAGAGTTTTTGTATTTAGGAAGTATACACTATAGGCAATGGGATTGTGAAACTAATACATCAACTGAGAATATTAGTTGAAAGTAGGGAAAAACTTACTACTTTTTCTCTTCTATTAACAGCCCCAGCAATTTGATCCTGTATATAACTGTAGCCAATATATATGCCTTAATATGGAATGGACATTATACAACTGGTCTCTTAATTGCCCAAAGGAAGTAGAAATGCCAGACTGTGGTTTCCGGGGAAGACCTGTTCAAGTGAACACTGATATCTGCTGTCCCGAGTGGGAATGTCCTTGTAAGTTTGCATTTCTTATGTGCTGGCTAAACTTTTAAAAAGGGGAGATTGCTGTTTTTTGGAACTGATCATGTCATTATACCATTATTGTTTTTGAGCTTTCTTCATTTGATTGAAAAATTTTTGTTTACAGTATGTGACATTTTGAGTTGCTTCTTATCAAATGTAAGTCTAAGTTGAGAGATTTTCTTAAAGCAGCTATTACTAAAAACAAATAGTTCATAGACTAATTCCACTTTACATCACTTTATCTTAGGTCGATGTTCCATGTTGTCAGAACTGAGCATTATTACATTTGATGGAAACAATGCTGCACTATATAGTATGGCTTCTTATATCTTAGTAAGAATTCCTGGGGAGATCATAGTTGTTCATATTGAAAAGTGTTCCTTGAATCAGGTAGGTCCTAATCCATTTTTGTGGTCATTTCCTTATAAATATATAGTTGAGATATATTGTAACATTTGAGATTTTAAGAATAAAAAGGTGCTTGAAACCTTATATTGATCTTCTGATATTTAAATAAAAGTGTTTTATGTAAACATATCTAAAGGCATATCATATTACTCTAAATGATGTTTTTAAAAGTCAAGTAATGAATTTCTTTTAAAAGTGTTTTTTGGCCAGAATGGATAGTGGGAAATGACTGCTAATAGGTATAAGGCTTCTTTGGGGGATGATTAATGTATCTTCAAATGGTTTGTGGCTGCACCATTTTATGAATATATTATAAACCACTGAATTATATACTTTAGATGGATTAATTGTATGTTATCTGAATACTATGAAATAAAGCAGTTAAAAATTTTAAAAATTATGTTCTGTACTTCTTTTCAGAATGGAAACTCATTTAAAAAGCTAGTGAGTATTTGCAAATTATTTAACAAATTCATTCTGTTTATGATTTAAATTATGTTCAACTTCATCTAATTTTTATTTTTTCAAAATAAGGCTTCCTCTGGAAGAATCTCTGGACTTTGTTTTAAGAAGTTAAATGTGACAACATCAGTAAATAAAATTCTTGTCAATAGGGTAGCAAGAAAGGTAAGAACACAATTGAAAATTTTCTTTACATGACATGGAAATAAGAAATTATATGAAAACATTTGGAAAAAGAGGAAAATTAAACGTATCAGTGCAGTTTCATTGCTCTTATGGATAATCATTCTTTTCATGGGAAGCCTAAAAATGTGTTTCTTAATATTATTATATTTCTACCTCCATTTATGTGCCAACTGTTGCATATATCTCTTTCCTGTGAGGTTAACTTAAGGGCCTTGTTAAACATTCTAATGCCCCTCAGATAATACGGATGACCAAGATTCTTCATAACAGAGTTAATGTTTGTGTTTCAAATCATACAAGGTGGAAATGATGTTGAAAAGAGCAGTGGCCCTGGGGAGCACAATGAAAACCACTTAGAGAAGAAGAGGTGGGGAGGGCTGGTTGTGAACTGTTCATATCACTGAATTTTTGATGAATGATTGATTGCTAAAATGAGAAAAAAGAAAGAATATTTACCTTTATTGTAGTAAATGAAACAAGAACAATGTGTTATGAATAAGCTTGAAAGGAGTCACTTGCTTCTGAACGAAAGACCCTTATCATAAGAACTGTATGTTTAGGATGTAAGAGTGAGTTATGAGCTGGGTTCTTAACTCAGATCTGAATTGTCCTCTCTAAAGTGTAAGAAAAAGATGTGTAAAGATTTTACTTAAATTGGCTGAGATGTTATAGGCTTTCTGAAAATAATTATATTAGTTAGCACAGGTGCATAGGTCCATATAAAAATAATTTTCTCTTTAATTTGATCTGAAATCGATGATATTTCATCTAGTTACCAATTTCCTGAAAGGTATTATCACTACTGTGTCTTTCTTTTCCTAAGTTACTTGTGCATACAAAGCCAATTGTCATTCAACAAGGGGAAGAAAAAAATAGTCTTCCTTATCTCTCTCTTTTTTAAAACTTATTCAGATATCCCTTAGGCTAGAAAAATAAAATTTTAAACATTTAAAAATTAGTCCATATTAAAACAGAGTAAATGGAATAATCTGTATTGTCCTGAATTTGATTAGTGTGTATTTAAATAAATACCTTCCTACCAGATGTATTTATATTATTCTAGGTAGAAGTGGATTCTATTGTTGTGCCTTTGCCCTTTTCAAATCAAGAACTGTTCATAGAGGATTCTGGTACTATGTACATGATTACTACCCCAGCTGGATTAATCATCAAGTGGGCTCATCTTACAGGAATCATAGATATTCACTTCAGCTTCCGGTTTAACTTGTCATCCTATACAGAAGGACTTTGTGGTGAGCACTGATCTTAAGATCTTTTATTTCTTCTAATATTTCTTTTCCTGCCTACAGTACATTGTTTTGAACACTGTTGGCCCACTTTTCAGACTTGAGTTGTGATACTCACTTTCAGTTCCCCATGTGAATATTGAAGAAAGCAGAGGCTTTCAATAAAGGGCTAAGAAAGCAAGAAATAACAGTTTAGCTTGAGTATTTCATGGAATGAATGTTTACTATTATTATTATTACTATAATACTTTATATTTCTACTAACTCTTCTTTATTGAGAATTAATAAAGTATCAGGTATATTTTAACTCACTTTATTTTAACAACCCCTAATAAGATAGTACTAGTGTTGTCCTAATTGGTAATTGATAAAAAATAAAGCATAGAAAGGTCACAGGCTTAAAATCTTTGTTTCTTCCTTTTTGTAAAGGTTAAACTCAGGAAAATTTTATGTCATATTGAAAGAATACAATGTTCTGAATACATGTCTCAGCTTGATTATGAGGTGTACAACTTATATGTACCTTTACACTTAGGCTTAATATTGTAACATGTTACATAGATATAAAAGTCAAAGGAAACAAACCAAATATATCGGTGGGCATATAACAAATTTTAAAAGTACTGGCTCTTGTGTCTCCTGGAAAGGTGAACAGATATTATATTCAACTTTCTGTACATATTAAGAGATTAGTTTCCTCAGCTTTCTAGTTAGTGCAGTAATATAATTTCAAGATCATATGCAGAAATCAAAATATCAACTTGTATACATAAATTTGCATAAGATTACATGTAAATTTTAAGTTTTAATATTTCTCATTGATAGGATTATATGTGAAAAATTAATGTAGAATGCTTAAAGTGTTACTTACATAACAGATGATAAATGATAATTTGTAAAATATACATAAATTTTAACTTCATTAAACATTCAGTAAAAGTTTCTCCATTACCTTCTGAGTGTTTGATATTATTTTTGATGCTAAAAACTCAAAAATGAATATGACTAAGCAAGTTCTTGCCCTCAGAAAATTAAATGAAATGACTGTTTCTTTTTTAAAACACAAATATCTAGTAGAAAGTTTTGCTAAACTGATTTGCATATTTCCTTACAAAAGAAAATGTTTCTTGTCATGGACTTCAGCAGTGACTTAAATTTATCATGTGGAAATAGTTAAGTAAATGTAGTTCAATAGTTATTATTAACAACTCAGACTTTGGAAATGGATTTTTTGCTATGATTTAGCACTTCTGAATGATATGATTTTTGTTTGATTTTTATAGTTTCTTCCTCCTCTGCTCTCATCTCTTGCTTTTAAGGTGATAGATACTCTGCTAGCTGAATTGTTAACTAAGCAATGTAGAAAAGCAGTCTCCTAGGATCACCTTTTTGCTACCACCTTTTTGCTGGCCTAAACTCCATGACTTTCAGAGTATGAGAAAGGTAGATAGTTAAAGGGTCATCTGAGTGCTGTCAGAACCACTAGGTTGGGTGCCAACAGAAAAAGCTGAGGTAAACAAGAGTGTTATCCAAAATGAACATGGACACCATAATGGAAAAAGCTTTATTGACATCTAAGTCTATATAACACTGAAGTCAGCTGGGGTGATGGATGGAGTTGCAGTGAAACACATTTATATTAGAAATTACCTCTCTCTTCAAAAGTCTCACCTTAAATTCTTAGCAGTTACGTTGCATGAAGTTGGGTTTTTGTCATCCCTACAAAAACCTGTATATTTGTAGGGATGAGATATCTGCAGCAGCAGCAGCCTTTTTCATCCTGATGCACCTGCTTGGTGATTAAGATTTGATGTTTGAATAAAATGTTTACTTCATATATTATAACTTACAGTCTTGGAAATTAAGAAAAGTATGTGTTAATGTAGGATGGGACTTTAGGAAAGGTATGATAAGGGATCTGGTTCTTATCTCTGTACTTTCCTTGGCTCTGTACTCCACTGGATGAAGAAAAGCTTATTCTCAATCTGGCCTTATTCAAAGCATCATAGTCATCAATATGTCATGTCACTCCAATGAAGGGAGATGGTCTGTGTCCTGGGATTCCCAGTTCAAGCCTTGAGTTTGACAATGGTTTTCCTAATGATGAATAAATCTGTGTGGTTACGTGACTGCTATAAGTTGGCTGTTTTACCTGTACAATTGCTAATATAAGGGAGTAAGGATTGACTTTATGTCAATCAGGGTCCTCACCTGGAGTGGTGTCATACACTGGACCATGGGAGTGGGGCAGTGGATAATTCCTGAAAGGGAAAGCTTAATATTTCCAGGCACAGTTATCCTGGGTGAATGTGAGCCTGGAATTCAGTCACTCAGTGTACACTATTTTAGGCGATATCTTGCCAGGTATAAAAATTTGCTCTGAACTAATGAGATGGTGGTAATAATGGAAATGTGTAGGAGGAGGATCCATCTTCTCTTTCTTATCTTTCTATGATCTTTTCATATATCTTTACTTATAGCCCCATGACTTTTTTCTTATTGGGTTAAGGCAGTTCTATGCTATTTTATAAAGGAGTTAGATATATAATTTTAAAAACCCTGTCAGTGCTAAAGCCAAAGACACATAAATTTGGAACTTTGATAAAAGAATTCATTTAAAATAAATTATTAAGCTGATTTAATTGTGCTAATTATATTTGGTTTAAGTGAAAAAAATTTTTCCCTCTAAATGTCACATTTCTTTCAAGGAATTTGCAATGAAGATCCAGATGATGATCTGAAGATGCAAAACGGCACAATTATTGTGAATATGGAAGACATAGAGTTATTTATTGAGAGCTGGGAAATTGAGAAATCTTTTGCAGTAACAACAAGAAGACCTGTTAGGAATTGTACTGAGCATGATTGCAGTCACTGCATTGAGTTATTAAATAGAAGAGTTTTCATTCCATGCCATGATAAAGTAAGCCAAAGCACCTATAAATAAGAACTGTCATGTTAGACATATTGAAAGTAAAAGCCAATAAATTCCTGCTTTTGCTATGATATTTTCCTACTGAGAATAGTTTATCTCCAAACCTTCTGCCAGTACGTTTTAGAATTCAGAATCACTTACTTTTTATAGATTTACAGATACAGGAAGGATAATTATCTTTTTTTCCCATCCCATGTTTTGTTAGAACTGTATTTATAGCTTAAAAAAATGAAGTTCTTTCCTATGAATAAATGCCTCTAGGAGAAAAAGATCAATGGCATTTGATTACACAGTATAGGAACTAAGACATTGAAACTTTAATCATTTCCTTACAATTCTGGCCTCTTATAAAAACTTACAAGAACTTAATTGATCTTTATTACTTGCTAGGCTTCTGACTTGAATAATTAATACATATTTTAAATAATCTATGTCATTAAAAAAGATTCATTGTTAGAGACAAAGGACAAACAGAATTTCACAAAGTGTTTAACTAAAAATTAATGAGCATTTAGCACATAGTAGGCACAATGTTAGACTCTTGTGATACAGGAATAAGAAATTCTCCTGATGTCAAGGAATCTACAAGAAAGGCAATCTGTGAACAAGTATATTACAGTTACAGTATGAAGATCCATAAGAAACCAGATTGGAAAAGACTTCACACAGGTTTAGACATTTGAACTGTTCAGAAGGATGGGTTTTCCAGGAAAGAAGGGAGAAGAAGGAAGATCTAGACAGAAGAAAATAGTACATACAAAAAAAAATATTTGGAGTAAAAGCCCATGCAAGGAAAATAATGAAGCAGTTTTGTGCCACATATATAGAGGAAGAATCTAGGAAGGAGAGTGATGAAATTATTGAGTCAGGAAGGAGCTCACTATGTGCTAGATGGGGAGATGCAGATTCTATAGTTAGCCTGTACTATGAGTTCCCTGAGGGAAAAGTAAGGGTTTGAAGTCATGGAATAAAAAGGCATATATTTTTGGAGGTTCTCTTCACTTAGAGATTTGAGTGAAAGTAAGTTTTAAGTGTTTAAATTTTTTAAATGCGTGCACATAAAATTTTAAAAAGCAATACATTTAATGCATGTTGTTGTCACTTTAATTTATTCTTTAAAGCACCATGAATTCTAAAAATTGCATCAATAACTGAGAACTTAGAAGGTTGACTGGAAAGTTTTCAGCTTGACTCATCAAAGTGTAGAGAGGTAATACAGGGTGCCATTTAGTCTGCAATAGCTTCAACTTTTCTCTTAGGATCTTCCCAGTGAATTCGATGGCAAAAAAAAAAAAGAAAACTGGAGTCCAGATATAGATGAGGAATTGGACATTTGCACAGATGGATAATTATTTAATATCTCAAAATATAGTAATATAATAACTTGATCTGCTACATAGATAAAAACCATTTTAATTGGGGACAGTAATGCTTATGTTTTCATAGTCAGGAGTAAATAGATACATTTTTCACATAGGAAAAAAAGACAGGGGTGTGAATTTAACCTGTTGTTTAAGAAGGTGAACTAAAAGGCATCTAGCTATGGCCTTATAACTGGGTCAAGCAACATACCCTCCAAAACTGTATTATACCTGTAACTCCAGGTTCTAGGTCATGGAGAAATTGGTATTAGAAGATTTCTGTTTTGGCCACTGGGTCAAGCTATGGAGGACATACTCATAATAGCTGGTGACCACATTGGCTGAGGCCACTGCAATCAGACTGAACCATACTAGACATAGTATGACTGGCTTCCAGGGCAATACTCCCATAAGGATGATTAGGAACAGAGAAGCGACCATATTCTTCTATAAACATAAAGTGAGGCAGGCATGAAGAGGCTACTCATCAGCTAAGCAGACTTCTCTTTTCTCCCTACAGGCAAGTATAGGCCTAGGCCTCTAGAGAAGCAGTTAGATTGAGAAAAGGAAAACTCAGAACTTAGCATCTACATATAGATGCACATTTTGTGATTACTGAATGAATGAGGGGAGAGAAAAATTGGAATAAATTTTAAGTTATAAGCCAAATTATTGAGATATCACAGTCTCTAGATCAAAACAGAACATAGTCCATAGAAAAAAGAATTGAGTGAAAATAAAGCATAACAAATTATATGAGATGAACATGGAATATTAATATAAAGAATTTTAAGAAGCATTTATAAACTGGTTTAATGGATGATGCTCTATACTATTATAGAATGCTTTGGTAGCTTCCAATTTTATCTATAGTAGCTCAATCTCCTATGTATTATATAGAAGAGATGATTGTAACCCAAATCATAATATTAGAAATAGATTTTTGCTAGACCTGAGTTACTCTTTTTCTTTTCCAGCCTTCTAAGAAAGATTTCTATAGATTAGTATAGATAACAGTTATCTCATTTAAAATCTGTTGGGAAGTATAAATTCAGGGATGACATCTAGTATTGTGAATTCTTGAAAATCTGAGATCTAAGAGGAACTATAATGAATATCAACTTGCTGTCATTTTATTTTCCAAATTGTCTTAGTCTAGCTTAGGGCCTTTAGAAAAATAAAACAGCATAACTTATCCCAAGGCAAAATGCATTTGTAGGTTTCACCAAAGGAATTTTGTGAAAAGATGTGGATCAATTATACCTATTTCTGGAACTATGAATGTGATGCTCTTTCTGCATATGTAGCTCTGTGCAACAAGTTTGACATCTGCATTCATTGGAGAACACCTGATTACTGCAGTAAGTAACCACTAAATCTATACAATATTTTCTAATTATTAAATAACATTCTTTTTATTCATTTTTCTTTTTCTTTTTATTTTTAATCAAATAGTAATTATAAGCATAAGATACACAAAAAGCAATATATCACAAACAAGTCAGATCACTCAACTTTACAAATAAAATTTACAAGTGTTCCTTTTTCTCCACATCCTCACCAACATTTATTATTATTTCTATTCTTGATGGTTAACATTTTTACTTGAGTGAGATGAAATCTCAATGTAATTTTGATTTTCATTTCCCTGATTGCTAAGGATGTTGAACATTTTTTCATATAATTGTTGACCATTTGCATTTCTTCTTTTAAGAAATGTCTCTTTAGTTCATTTGCCCATTTGATTGCAAATCACTTTGACTGCTATGAAAATCAATATGGAGATTTTTCAGGAATAGGACCATCATTTGACCCATTATTCTGCTCCTCACTATTTATCTAAAAGAATTGAAATCAACATACTATAAGAGAGATTTGCATTCCAATGTCTATAGCAATGTAATTCACAACAGCAAAGGTATGGAACCAGTGTGGGTGCCTGTCAACAATTGAATGGATAAAGAAAATATGGTATATTTTATATGGACTTTTACTCAGCCATAAAGAAAAGTGAAATTATGTCCTTTGTTGTATATATAAATGGATAGAACTGGAGAACATTATGCTAAGTGAAATAGGCTAGATTCAGAAAGTCAAGGGTCAAACATTTTCTCTGGTATGAGAAAGCTAGAGAAAAAAAAAAGAAATAAAAGATGGGGATCTTCTATTTTCATGAGAAAATAGAAGGAGATCAATAGAGTAGTTAGGGATGGAAGGGGAAGGAGGAGACAAATGAAAGGGAAGGAACTGAGGAATGAAATTATCCTAAATGTATAATCTGCATATATAAATATATCACAATGCATCCTACCTTTATGTATAATTATAATGTACCAATTTAAAAATATGCAATTAAATGGAAGGGAGGCTAATATAGTAAAGGAAGGGGAGGGAAGAAGAGAAGGAAAGGGAAGGAAGCAAATTATGGGGAATGAAATGGAGCAAATTATGTTATTTGCACATAAGAAAATATCTCAGTGAACCACACTATTATGTACTATTATATTGTACCAATAACAACATAAAAAAATAAAGTTGCATACAAGGCTTCTCTGTTCCCTTCTCTTATCCCTTTTATCTTCCTCCTTCCACAGATGAATCATTATTTGAGAGCAGCATTCCTGATTCATCTGGAATGTATGCCATCTCCACTTTCACTGGGTGCTCTCAAATTGTTCTCCACTGATATTGAACCAATTTATACTCCTATCATCTGAGTATTTCTTTTCTAACACTATAACTTTTTAAAGATTATTTAAAATTAATAAGAATTTTCTAAAGCATCATTTAAAGACTGTTCAACAATCATTTTCTTTTAACAGTGAAAGATTAAGCCTAAATATGACCCACATTTTTTTATGACTTGGTTGAATTACATTATTTAAAGCTGATCTCTATGTTTATTCTGAGTAGATGACATATCTCATTTGACTGCACAGAGGATTAACTTTGTAATAGTTGACTACATGGAAACCAGACTTGGACTGCCTATGTTTATTTGATATAAATCAGATGAACTTTTAATATTAGCTGTACACCTGCAAGATGCTTGAAAATACTCATTGATGATCTTGCTCCTGATCTACAGTACACAGAAAATAAAAAAAAAAAATGGACATTGAAGAGACTAAAATGTGCAAAATTCTGTTTCAGAGACAAGCTGGCATTTCTTTTTTTTATTAGAAATCAAATGGGTCATGTTTATCATTAGCAAATTCCATCCTTTTTGTTCATAGCTCTGAGTTGCCCAGATGGGAAAGAATATCAACCCTGTGTGCGACCTTGTGAGGCAAGAACATGCCTGAACAAATGGTCCTATGGACACTCTTCATGTTCGAATTTAAGAGAAGACTGTGTGTGCAGAAATGGGACCATTCTTCACAGGCCAGATAAAACTCAGTGTATTCCAGAGAGAGAATGTGGTAAGAAGCAAAATACAAAATAATTTCTTTGAGATTTTACACACAGATAAGAACTTTTCTTAGATATTGAAAAGATATGCTGAGAAAAATTAATCAAAGGTAACCTAAGTGTTGGAAAGGAAATGAGTTTGTAATGTGCTGTTAATATGGTTTCAGTTGAATTTAACAAAATTAGTAGCTTTCATTATGATGTATCTTGATAGTTTTATATATATACATATTTATATGTATATATATGTAATAACTAGGAAAGAACATGGAAAATTAAGAATTAAAAGTATAGGTTGTGGGATGGACTTAAATTCCAGTTATTTTCTGTCTTTAGCGTTCATTTTACCTTTGAGCCTGAGGTTATGCCTCTGCAAAATGAGAGAAATGATAGTGCTTATTAACTTATCAGGTCAGCGTGGAGAGACATCAAACAAGAAAAAGAAGTTTACATTTAATGGTGCCTTGAGAAAATAAGCACTTTAGAAATGGCAGATGGAATTATTATCTGGGGAAAATTTTAATTTTTCTGCTGTCATTTCCCAGCAATTTAATTTTGACACGTTATCTAAATGGTGGTGGCAAACGAAAATGTGAAAAACTGAGGAAATCACTGCACAGTAGTTTGATAGTCATAGGGGTCTTCCTTATGGTCAGACAGGTAATTAGCTAGCAGTTAAAGGAAGGGTAAGTAGAAGCAAATGTATATAGTTTTAGAAACAAGCTTGAGGTTGCCAATAAATAAAGGAAGGAAGACTTCAGAATACATAGAAACAGTTATGCTCATAACTTTAGAGATTTAACAGCTTGGTTTGCTAGAGAAGTGCTTGAATGCTGAGGATATGATTGTAGCTATTTAACTTTATTATTCCTTAAAAAACTACTAGAGGGACATATTTACATATAATATTTTTCCTAATTGCCTACTTTTCTCTTTTAGATTTTAAAGTGGAAATGTTTTATATTTTAGTATGACATGAATTTTAATGTGAGATAGGGACTACTTTTTTCCTAATGTCATTTATTTATAACAGTTATTATTTTAAAGCTAATTCACATTTATATCACTGAGTTTGTTCAAGCTAAATAAATTGTATTGATAACATCTTACATGTATTAAAACAACTAAAAATCATCTTATTTATAGAGGAGGGCATATAAATGTATAGATAGTTGTAGGAAGGAAAAATATTTTCTGTGGAATATACACAAAGGTTGGTTAAAGAAAAATGTGAGCTGATGTAGAAAAAAGGAATCTGAGACAGGATGGATTTGTGACATGTCAGCTATGTGACTGGATCAAATCACAGTCTGAAATCGAAACATAGCAGCTTGATTTATTTTAGTGACTAGGTTATGAATGTCTTAACATTGTCAATTTCTTCAAGTTTGCACTGATAGAGAAGATCAACCCCGAACTGCTGGGGAGATTTGGAATGGGGGTATTGATGAGTGTGCCCTGTACAAATGTTTGGAGAATGGAAGCATCATTCCTGTAGAACCTGACTGTGAAGAAGAGCCCTCTCCCTTTTGTGAACGAGAAGCCGAAATTGTCATGGGCACCATTGATAAGCTGACCTGTTGTTCAAAGGAAGTTTGTGGTATGTGCACAGGTTGATGCCTCCAAATTAGTACTGCAAAATAGGTTCATTCTTTGTGTCCTTGACGCTTGGTCTAAACAAACATATAAGGGTTGAAGTAACAATATAGTCCTGCCATAAATGTCATTTTCTCAAATAAATTATACAAATACATACAAAAAACTCTGACTATTAATAACAATACAATTATTCAGCAATATATGACAAGAGAAAGGATATGGAAAACTTTAAGTCGTGACAATCAGGGGTGAAAGACTACCAGACAAAACTTAAAGCTGCTCTTTTGTTTTCAAATATAGATTGCCTTGTGAATGGAATAGGTTTAATGATGGTGGAAAAACATGTTAGTGAAAGTCATTTTCCTGTTTCAAGTTCACAGCCCAAGTTTTTAGTTTTGGCCACTATTTTTAATGTTCTGTTTCTTGCTTCTAGGATGTGACATGAATTTGTGTGAAACTACCATTCCAACATGCACAACTAGTCAAAAATTGGTTGTTGGTTATAGCCCTCTTTCTTGTTGTCCACAGTACAAATGTGGTGAGTTAATCAATTTGTAAAACTGAGTAAGGTTCATTGTTCATTCAGAATAGTAGATTAGAATCTCTTTCTTTGCATCTTCAAGAAAAATAATTTGTCATAAGAGATTTCAGAGTTGCTATTTCTAAGTTTCTGTTAACATTAAGATCTTTATATCACTAAATTCAAAGAAAACTAAGCACTATTTCATTTATTTTACTTTTATTTATTATTTCTTCATCTTACAAATTTTTAAATACATTTGTGTTTCTGCAGAATGTGACCCACTCAAGTGTCCTGTTATTTCAACACCAGAATGCAGAGAAGACCAATTTATGATTCATGTTCAGCAGGGAGAACCTTGCTGTTTTCTCCCTCTCTGTGGTGAGTATTCTAGAGATAATTTTTAGAAAGAAGAGGGAGGATCTAGAGAGACTCCTTTATTTGCTTTGAATTTCATGGTGACTGATGGAAACTGATATTCTAATTTTATACTCATAGGTATAAAACTGAATAAGAACTGTATTCTTTCTACAGACACGAATTGATGTGAATATACTTTGTATACAACCAAAGATTTGAAAAATTGTGCTGTACATGTGTAATAAGAATTCTAATGCATTCCGCTTTCATATTTAAATAAAAAATTAATTAAAATAAGGAAAGGAAGGTACAGCATTTTAAATGACTCTTAACAGTTACTATTCTTAGAATCTTCCCCTACCCCAAAATATATGTATGTATCTGTCTAAAACATGATGAAGACAATAAAATCAAGTTTTTTTCCTTTAATAATAAGTATCTAATTTTTTTGAAGAAAAATTTATTACTGACTTTCCTTGAAGAACCAGTTAGAATAATATGCTCTGCTAAGACATTATAGGACTTTTTAGAACTTTATGTTCTGCACATCAGAATATAAAGTTCTGATAATCTCAAAAGAGAATGGTAGACAATAGAGTATCTAGGAAATAATTAGAGCTAACTAATCTGACAAATTGGATATTGAAAAATAAAGAATTATCTACTTTCCAATCCAAATGAATTGTCATATCAAAGATTGGTGCTTAATATAGGTTTCAGATATACCTAGGAATATCAAAACACATTTGTTTGTATCAGTTAAGGTCCTTTGCAAGTGGCAAAAGCCAAAAGATTTTGGGTAGATGAAGCACTAGCAATTATTGGAAGGATTTGGGGAAGTATGAAAGCTATCCAGCCAGGCTCTGGGAGGAAAAGCCAGCTGCTGTAGGTGGAGGCCACTGGTGATGAGCCAGCTCAAGCCATTTTCTTGTCCCCGGGTACCTTTATTTATGATTTAAATTCCATGGGAGGAGATTTTGATTATTCTACAATGGGTTATCCTACAAAGTGGGCTGGTGAGAGTGAGGTACTTCATTCACAGTCATTTCGGTACTGTGTGGGTGGGCATTTCTCAAGGTTATTCAGAGAATTATTACATTTGGGAGGGATGCTAAACAGCTCAACAGAACAAGTGCCTTCTCCATTGTTATTCCTTAAATTAGAATAATCAAGGGTAGTGAATGAAGTAAACTTCAATAAATTAATCAATGATAGTTTGATCTTAGTAAGGATGAATTACTCCAGAAAACTGAATGCCCTTTATTTCTGATAGATGGTGTTCTGTAGGGTCACTGTACTTAGGAAAGCATAAAGCAATATATCATCTGGGCAGTATCATTGTTTTATGATCAAATAAAGAACCATGCCTTATTTTCTTTGTTTTGTATTTTATTTAGTATCGATGTATTTTATTTTGATTTGATTTTTGTATTGTAACTTGAATTAACATTTGATTTGCTTTCAGCTCAGCAGTGACTTTTGGCTTTTTGTTTCACCTTTAGTTTGTGAACCTTGCACTGAACCTATTCCACTATGTTCTGATGGGGAATTTTTAACGGTGAATCTTAATACCACACATGTCTGTTGTCCTCAGTATTACTGTGGTGAGTATATTGAAACTAGTTAAAAATATTTTGATGTGTCTAATAAATGACCAGAAACATTTATATGTTTAAGAAGCCCAGTGGCTCTTAGGTGCACTGTTACAGCAGACCCTTTATCAGGGCTTTGCACTTGAGGAGCTGTGCCAGCACTGCTATATTACTTACAAGACACTTGTTCTGTCTACAACTTCACATGGTGAGGCAGCACTTGGGAGATGAGTCTATGACTGCATCAGTAAACAAGATGATAGGTAATAAGATTCAGCAATTACATAAAATTAATCTTTACCCATGTGGTTTCTCCTTCTAGTCTGTGAAACAAATCTTTGTCCTCCACCACTGCTCAACTGTGCAGAAGATATGAATCTTGTCAAAGAAAATGTATCTGGGCAATGTTGTCCAACATGGCATTGTGGTAACTAATTTCATATTTAAAAGCTTTATTATAATAAGCTGATATATTTTGATCAATGTAAATATGTCGATTTTTGCCTTTTAGAGTGTAACTGTGAGAACCTTATAATACCAACTTGTGAAGTGGTAAGAACACATATTTAGAATGTTTATTATTCAAATTTACTCTTCCTTTGTCTCCTTCATTTCTGAATTCTTCAGAGTTAATGAAAATATCTAAATTGTACTGAAGTAGATTCAATTAATGTGCTCTTTTATTACAGAAGTCAACCTTTTATATTTTATGTGAGATAGGAAAATGCAACCCATGATTTTTTTAAACTAGTGACTAAATCTACTAACATTGTACTTACTGAAGGTCACTGGTTTTTAAATGAAGCAAAATATGGAAAAATATTATTTGAAAACTGAAAAGTATTTCAAATCTCAAATGTCATAGAAATACTATTTATAATGGCCCAAAGTAGAGATAGCTGAAGGTGATTTTACTACTGACTTTAAAGGAGAAAGATGCTTATATGGGAGTAAAAAAATACCATTATATTTGATATAATACTAAGTATTGGTAGAATAATCAAGTGGATAATAGGTGGGTACTATTGAGAATAAAGGTGTAACTAAATATGTGGAAAAGATCTCAAAAGAAATATGCATAGACTATGAAATAGGGAAGAATAGAAAACTTAAAGCTAAGCTTGAAAGAAGGGAATGAGCACTGTGGCTTTAATTATTAAAAAACAGGTGTATAATTACTTAAAAGAGTTAGGACTAGCCAAATTTTTCCTTATTTCATCTTTGGATTAGCTTAGGCACTGGCAAATTTTTTTTTAAATTCCACTGGGAATTTATCTTATTTATCTAATTTATCTTATTTTCAATAACATTGGAATGATGTCTTTTTGAATAAAGTCATAAAATTACCAAATGAATTAATGCTAATGAAACTAAAATATATAAGGCACTATAAAAAGTAAGATATTAGCTTATGGGAAATGCATTTTATATGTTATTATGAATTCATTTGAATAATTTTCTTATGTCAAGAATAAAATTCATTTTATTTCTAATGTGATATGAAAATTAAAGGAACCCAGGAAAATTTTATATTTAAAATGTAATTCTCAAAGATTTAAGTCTGGATTGATCAAATTATGTTAAATGCATGTACAAATATGGCATAATGAATCCCACTATTATGCATAATTATAATGTACTAATAGAAAAATTTAGGTCTGGTCCTGGGTATTCCTTACAGGGCAAAGTATGAGAATCTGTCAAGATAACATTTACTAACAATCGAAAATTATATACTACTTTCTGTGTGTCAGCCTATTTCTAAGCCCTTTAGGTACATTGACCCATTTATTTCTCTCAATAATACTAGATGGCAAGCAATATTTTATCTCTCTTTTACAATAAGGAAAGTGAGGTGCACATTGGTTAAGTAACATGCCGTAGCTCACACAGCTAGTGAACAGCAGAGCCAGGATTGGCAGAACAGGATTACAGTCCTGTTCACAAGTCCATGCTATTATCTGCTACACTACACCCTTCTGTTGCTGCTCTATCTGCCATAGCAGCCTTGTTTGGATGCAGACTGCAGAGCTCTGGACCACCTCTATAGAGATCACAAACATTTCCACACAGCAATGTTTCCAGGGTGTCAAGCACTCTTTTAGCTCCAGTTGCCCTCTAGAAGTTCAGAATCAAACAATGTAATTTTAAAGTTATGACAGACCACAAAGATCATCTTATTCACCTTCTCTCCCTTAATAGTAATAAAGCTTAAAGAGATTGAGTGATTCATAGTCAATGGATCACAGTGACCCATCCCCATGGGTTACTAGTGAAATGACCACTAGGTTAACCTAAGCATAATCACTAAAATATCTTGTTAAGAACCTGTTGTTTGTTTAGCTGTGTGATAAGACATCTATTAGATGTTATAATGAATGTGTATTTTAACAATTGTCATAATAAGCTATATAAGTCACATAATAATAATAATTTCTTTCTAATAGGGAGAATTTACTGCAATAGATCATAACTTTCAGAGTGACTGTGGATGTTTTCAGTATCTCTGTGGTAACTACTTTTTAAAATAACTTTTAAATAATAGATGAATATTATTGGTATATGTTGCTTTTTGTTTATAAATTTAAAATGATCTTCTTTGAGAGAGATACATATTAAACCAATCACCAATATTTAAGTAAAAAAAGTACTATTAATTTTCTTTTGAAATATCTCAAAATGTTTTGAGAACTTGGTAATAAGAAAGAAAAACTTTTTTTTCCAAAGCTTTCACAGGATTTTAAAGTTGATATCAGTTTATATTTAATTTTTAAAAACAGACAATATCTGTGTGAGGTTTTTTTCCCTTTGTTGTATATGATTGATGTCAATGTTGTAAAGCATAAGTAAACTTGATTTTTCTATTAAATAAAGAGTGTTCATATTAAGTAGTAGCAGGATAATAGGAAGCAAAACTTTTGCTCAATGGCTTGAAATTCTTGTATTTTTTATATTAGAGAAAGCTCATGTTCAGAGTTGGAGAGGCACAAAGCTGTGCTAAGTATATCATATAAGCTGTGCTGAGTATATATCATATTCCAGCTCACCCTAATTTTTACCACTTTTAAAGACACAGTAGTGCATTAAATTAGCTCTCTCCCTCAGGAAATATGATCTATATGACTATTTATATTGTAACACTAAAAACTGAATAACTGCACTCAAATAACCATTAAAAATCACGAACACTGCAGAATCCCAACTTCATGAATTAGATGTAGCCTCTGTCCGCATCCATGTCCAGCAGTGGTTGTGCTGTGTCCTAAAGAGGAAGCAGCAAGTAGCTTGCCCCTCACTGGGATCTTATATTTCTGAAACCCATACAAAATATAGATTTTGAAGGAAGTTAAAGCAACTGATTTTATAGAGCAAATGTAATTGAATTATAAGGGATGAATGTGCTATATTCATTAGTAATTAATACTCTAGGGTTATTACCAATGTGTAAAAATCTTACTTGATTTTGAAAAAAAAAACTGGCATATTGCATGAAAACGTAGGCTTAAATGTAAGTTTATTTGATTGATTAATATAAGATAACATTTTATTTTCGTATTATTTTTTGTACTTTAGAAAAGGATGACGTGTGTGTATTTCAAGAAACATCAGTGTTGAACCCTGGACAATCTTTGATAAAGTATTTTAAAGGGGACTTTTGTTATAAAATTGAGTGTCTGGAAGAAAAAGATAACCACACGGGGTTTCACACTTTGAATTTTACGATGGTGAACTGTTCAAAAGAATGTGATATTGTAAGTATCCTTTATAAGTCATTCTGATAAGAATTAATGAATCTAAAATTGGCAGCTGCAGAATTCGAACTAATGAATACTCCATGAGTTAAAAATGTACTCTTGAATGTTCTTTAACTGTCTATAATGTAATAACACACTCATTTAAAGCAGATTTCCACTTTCCTATGTATGACCTTGAGCTTCAGGAGTCTTATTATCTGCAGCTTGCCAGCTTGCTTGACCTGATATCACAATTCACTTTCTTGATGAATCTTGGTTGCTAGGTGTAAAGGTTAACATCGACTTCACCTTTAATATGGTTATATAAAATCAATTATTATTTAAAGCTCTTCAAACTCAACCTCAGAAATGCTTATGGCTGTTCTGAGAGATCATATAATTATGTTGGGAAACAGCTCCAGAACTAATTCAATAAAAGTGTTTGTATTGTTGTGTGCTAACTCAATGTACTGTCACCATTTGCAGCACCAGGTGTACATTCCATCCCCAAGTGATTATGATTGTTGTGGAACCTGCAAAAATGTATCCTGCAAATTTCATATGGAAAATGGAACATCAGTTATATATGAGGTATGCATTCCTTATTTCTTACCTTCTTTAGAAGGTAGATTTTTGTGTTGCTTTTTGAAGATGACATTCTTGAGTTACATAAATCTGAAAAGTGTCACACACCCATGGAGACATACTTCTACATATAACAAACATATAGTGCACATAACACACTGCACACATTTGCTACATTTTAAAGCATTTGATAATGTCTATTATCAAAAGATAAACATGTTTTATTGTCTTCACTTTTTTCTCCTAGATGTGGGAAATGGGCTATGGGAAATAATGATTTCTAAACATATAAATGAAAAAGAAAATATTTCTTTGGAACTGATAACTTTTTTATAAACTAGACATTAGTGTTTTCTGAATTAAAATATTTTATCTTCTTTTATGCCAGAACTTATGTATCATTTCCAATTAACATTCACAGAAGACTGGAAGCTACTCACAAATTGAGATAGAATCTAGAGAAAAGAAAGTGGTCAGGCTTATTAACATGTTTTACTGGTCTACATGGCGTCTTCAAGTCAGAGTTTAACTATAATTATAAAATTTAGCTTACAAAATAAAGATATAGATCAACCGTAGCCCAATACTTGGGTAATAATTACTTCAGCTGACTTTATTTCTAAATAGGAATTCTGAAACCAGGAACAAAATATTATATTTATGTATTTGTTAAAAGAATAGGAATAAGTTTTATAATAACCAAAGGTATATGAAATTAGAATCATAGGTCAATAAGCACTATCATTCAATTTTTAAAAAATTTTTTTCTGATAAGGGAGTAGAAGGAAGAATAAACAAATTTCAAGAAAAGAGGTGTATAAGTAATATGATTTGTTTTTTTATAATTAGTGAGGAAATGTCAGAGTAAGAACTTTGAGACTTGGCCAGATTAGATAATTATTTTTTTTAGTAGAAAGTGATACCTATTTTCTGATTTCTTCTCTATTGCCTTATTTCACAATTACATATTTGTTCTATTATGAAACCAAACACAAACAAACAAACAAGTATTTTCAATAGTTTTATGTAAATTTGGAGACATTTTCAGATGGAACATTTATTCCACAAGAAGTTCTCTGCATCCTTTTGAAATTGATTCAGTAAGATGGAAAATTGTTTACTTAAGAAAGTAAGCATATAAGGAGAGCAACTAAGAACAGAGCAGGGAGGAAGGGCATGAGAAGAAGATTAACATTAAACAGGGAGGAGAGGTGGGAGGGAAAGGGAGAGAGAAAGGAAATTGCATGGAAATGGAAGAGACACTCATTGTTATACAAAATTACATATAAGAGGAAGTGAGGGGAAAGGGGGGAAAA